CCCTCCCACCCACTCTGTGTTACCTGTTTGTGTTTTTTAGCTTTAGAAAAGAGACGGCTTGATTTTAGTCGGAAGTTATGGCTTTGATTTTACAACTGAAAAGCGAAATTCCGTGGCACGTGCAGGGCAGCAGGGCAACTTGGCTGGTCAGATGGTTCCACCCAACCTCAAGACTTTTGCGTGGGTTCCACAGCGCAGGATGAATCTCTCTCGGTGTATTGAATAGTACAGTTAGGGTTTCCAAGAACTGCAAATATATTAAAAAAATAGCCTACCCTCCTACGGGGCATCCTGCAAGCCCATAGCACTGTTTTCACAGCATGAGTTTCATGAAGGGAAAAATGCCCTAACCACGCACGAATCGTGCTAGCATGATTCTAGTAAAAGCAGTTGTTAAATATTGCTATTGCTTGAACTACTGCGTTGCAGCCAGAACCTAGAGGAAATTCAGCAGTTAAAAGCAAACTGTTTAAAGAAGTTAGATGGTTTTGTGGACACCATTCATTAGTTTCTATTTTAATATGTGCTACACAACACCGATTAACGACTTGCAGTAGATATGTGCAGGTTTTTCCAGCAGTTTCATATAGCACATTAAAAGCTTAGAGCAGAGCTGCAGGAACTTAACTGACATGCTATTGAAAACACTCCCTGAGTGACTTGCTCTAAAGTTATAATATGTATGTGAACTTTGTAGGTGAACATCGCCATTATAGGTTCAGTTAAATCTGGTAGTAGAACTTAATGTTAGTGAAAAGAATATCAAATAATTAAAAAGAGTGGATGCTTTCCTTAGAGCAGATGGAAACATCTTTTTGTTTGTTTGTTTTTCCATTTGTCCTGCTTTGTGGGATACTATTCCCAAATATGCTGTCAGCATAGCAAGTGAAACATCAGGACAGTCAATATCAGCACTGTGCAGCCAGGTATGAGTAGCGTTCATCTCTCTGGATCATCAAGCACTGTTTGTAATTATTTTGCGGGAAAAGTAATTTATGGAAATAGTAACTGGACAAAAAAATGCAGACTGATGTTACTGGCATAAATCACTGAACAGAACAATAAGTTGTACAAATATTGCATGCAACTGGGTAGATTTAAAATCTGAAATATCAGAGTCCCAAGCATCAATCTTCGTAGCGCTACCAAGTCATGTTCAAGCCTCTGGGCCAACGAGTTCCGCGTTCTCTCTTCGGAGGCACTAAGGGACATCGCTGCCATCAGCAGCCTCGCTTGCCAGCGCAAGCGGCGGCCTCCTACAGGGGCCAGGATGCTCTCCCTTGCTTCCTACATTGGTGGCTCTGCATCTACCCAGGGCATGTTTCTCTTTCAGTCCCTCAGAGGTTAGGTTTCTAATAAGCAAGTCAACTCAGTCTTGAAACAGGACTGGTAGCTTGGTCAGCATATAAAGAACTGTTTGCTCCTCTTTGGTGAATCCTTACTTTGCCTTTCAACAGGAGCCAGAACTGAATGAGGGCCATCAAGCTGTTGGACTTGGGAAGAGGGATTTTTCTGTCTCTTCCACAAAAGAGCAGCAGCTGTTAGTGCTCCTGCCTGGCTTCTAATTTCACCTCACAACTTTTCTTTTTTCCCCTCATATCCTCCCATCCTCATCACCATCATGTTGATTGCCAGGGAACAGAGATACTACCTACTTTTCCTAACCGGCTGCGTGCTTTAACACCCTGCTCCCTGTTTTTGGCACAATGGGCAATCTGAAAGATGGTACCGCAGGAAACTACCACGAGATTAGATTCCTGCTTTTGCCAGAGCTGCCCATTTCACAGGAGGTGAAATATGTCAAACCTGAACTGCTCAGGTTAAAATTTCCTGTGTGCTTCTGTTCTCCTAGTTGTACTTCAGTTTGTTCTTTGAACTTCTGACTTTTTAACGCCACAGAAGACGTAAAAATGTTTGATGCTCATATCCTCTTTCTGTGTCAGCTTACTTTTGAGTGACTGGGGATGTTTGAAGAACCTTATTGGCTTCTGGCATTGAAAAGGCATCCTGATGAGCTCAGTTGTACCCTATGTGCAACTTCTGCTCTATTTAAGCATGCAAGTTTTGAGGGGAGAAGGGGTCTTAAAATTGCGCATATGGCATTGCAGCTCCAAGCTTTTGCACGCTTATTCAGTCCCTTTGAGTCTGCCTTTTCATAGTAGAACGCTATCATTTGGGTGCTGGGGAGAAATCTTGCTCATCCGGTACATATGAGATAATTGTTGGCTTTTTTTTTTCTTTTTTTTTCTGTAATTCACACAGTTATCTTTGCTACGGCTTTACACTATTGTTAAAATTGTGTGTCAGTATAAACCTGACAGTTTTCTTTTGTAAAAATATTAATAGGTAAAATAAACTTGAAATTAAGTTTAGTAGATAATCTTACTAGGTGCTTCAAAGAACAGTGGAGAGCCCAAAATCCTAATGTGCTCTCTTAAAGTTTCTGTCAGCCATTGCAGTAGCTAATGGATAAAACTGTCCTTCAAATCTTCCTTTCTGTTTTTCCTTAGAGCATTACCAGGGCTTTGTTAGTGGAAGCTAAATTTTCAGCAAGTCAGATTCTTGAGTGTTAAGAATAGAGGGGGAGTGGAATGCAGTTATGTTGTAACAGAAAAATAACATTTTCCTGAGACAAATCGCGAGGACTTTTTAGGTTTTTCTGTAACATACTTCTGTCAGGAGCTATGGGAAGGTATTGTATTTGTGCTTCATTATGCTAAGTAAAAGGTATTTTAAACATAAGAATGTTATGTTTCACTTGATTAGCCTAATAGTTGCAACCTACAGTTATATGGTGCATTAGCTTTCTGTGCTGTATAATAGGACTGGCAGCATAGTGTCCCAAAAACTGTAATTGCGTGGGCTGCTCAAGTCATAGAGAAAGCTGTACAAAAATTCTATTCTAGACAGATTTTTTTTCATTTTGAAATGAATTTCACAACAAATTCACAGTTGGATGCCAGTGCTTGTATTTCCACTGAATCGTATTCCAGAAAAGTAATACTTTGCTTCAACAAAGCCCACCACAAACAGTGCAATGATATAAATCAGAAATTGGATATTTTTAATTGTAATTGTTCAAAATATAGTACAATTACTAAATATGCCTGTGGGTCCTGACATTCATATTTGTTTGGCTTTGTCTTCACATGCAAAAATTAACAAATGCTTCATACATAAGAGAAAAGAGTGGGAAGAAGTACCTTCTTATTTCTGTTCGTGATAGGAAAGTGACTTCTGGGCAGCATTGGTTGTCATAACCACGCATATTTAATAGCATAGTGAGAACAAACCTGTTACATGGAAATGCAACCTTGGGACCTCCTGGATCATCAAATTCAGTCCTCTGTTACCTCAACTTTTCACGTAAAACTAGGGGACTGGAGATTTTCATTCGCTTCACATCCTCCACCATGGCTCTCAAAAGGTTGTTTGGAATCCCCAAAATAATTTTCTTACGGTTAGAAATCCACTTTTAATTTCCAGTCTAAGTTTACCAATGGTCAGTTCATTTATGCCATGCATGTGCACAATCCTTCGAAGTTGCAAGATAAGAACACATCTGTCTATGTCCTTTCACCGAGGTTTGAGTTAAACATTTTACCTCAGAGTCTGACTGGACTAACAGTGTATGACACTAAGCTACTCTCGCTTAATTTTTACCATAGATAAGAAGCCATTCAGTGTCTTATTTTTAGATCTTGGGATAAGTTGCAGGACCAGCGATTAGTGTAATTTATATCAATGAACACAACTGAGATGGCTGTACTCTGTTCTCCCACAGAGTAATTCATTTTAAATGAGCTCAAGGAACTTCTTTTAAAGCTATTTTTCATAATAGGATTAAATTGCCACATCTGTGTTATCTGAGGTAAGGTGGAGCAAATGAGATGAACTGATTAGAAGTTCATTGGGGTAATTTTTATAACATCAGCATTAATCGCATCGCCATCTCTGAGCTACATTGTTTCACTCGTCTGTCTCCCAGATTCTGATCTCTAATTGCAGGCAGAATATACGGAAGGGAAGGGAGGTCATTGCGCTTTCCCTGGTTTAGGCTCAGGTACTCGAAATCAGGCACTGATCTGTCTTGTGGGCTGGTGACCCCCTCTCATTGCTCTGCCTTGCACTTTAAACACTTATGCGTGCTTTAATGAATTGAGTGTTTTCTGTATTGCCATCACTCATGAAGTGAGGTCCTCAGAAAAGCAAATGAGGCAGTTTTAGGTTTTTGTCTGTTTTAGATTTTTATACCACTGGAGTCCTATTCTATAAAGTTACTCTGGACTCCTACTAGTATAGCTGAAAAAGAGGTTGTTCTAATGGTCAAAGTTACACTGCTGAGTATAGTCCTGTTTAGAATTTCCTTTTAGTATAAATTGATAGGCATTTTATGCACTGGGTAAACAGAATGCTTGCTTGACTTTCCCACCCTCCCCAGTAGGAAACTTCTACTAAGGCATGACATCTCCTATAAGTTCTCATGAGTAATACCCTCTAAACCACTTTCAGAGAAACAAGAATCCTTGCTATTTCTATATACAATAATAATTAGCAGAGAGAGAAGCTGATAAAGTAGTGAGCTCATCTTGAAGACTCTCATACTTCAACCTGTTTCTGTTCTGGCTCCCTAGAATTATCAAGCTATAGTGCATGTTTTGTGCCATGATACATATATTCTACCAAAGGCATTCAGCGTGGTTCTTTTTTTCAAATTAGATTTTTATTAAATTGCAAATCTGGTAAAATCACAGAAGAAGAATACTGAAACATTAACCTGTCGGCTTTTGCTCTAAGGAAATGTGCCTTTCTCCATTTGATTTGAAAAAGGAAATAGACTGTGGTGGTGTGGCTATGGAACTTTCTCTTTCTGCTTCTGATTGCAAAAGTGCTAGTAAAAGAGATAAAAAGAAAACATACAGTATCTAACAGTAGAATATTATGGCTTTGTTAAGATAACAGAATGAAAGTGATTAATTATCCTTTTTGTTTTGTTTTAGGTGTCAGAAACTATTTGAAAGAAGCATTAGTGAATATCATTGCTGTGCATGCAGAGGTGAGAAAACTTCAGATTGTTTGATGCTTGTATTCATATGAATAATTTCAGTGTATTTTCTTTGGTAAATGCTGCCTTTCATCACACCTGAAAACTGCATCTTTTGAAGTGTCTAATTATGGATGTGAGTGCCTTGGGTTAGGTTTAGGTGCCCAAGTGCGAAACCGCTAACGTTTTTAAAGGCAGAAGGAGATTAACAATTCCTGCTATACCCTCAGTAACACCCCTTACACATTTTGGAGTGCTTTTCACAATCTGGTGAAGAGAAAAGTCAAAGTTTAAGTCTTTCCTTTTCATGCAGATTAAAAATATATAGTATGATGCTCATTCTCTCTTTTTTACTTTGTTTTCCACAGCATGTAAAAATGAGTCTGTGCTTTAGAAGAAATGTTTGAAATATGCCACTTGAAGTGAAAAGACAATATATGTCATATCCTTGTATATAGGATAGAGAGCAGAAATCTAAAAGCAGAAAGTTTTATAGTCTGTAAGTAGCATGAAGACTTTTTCAAATCCTTGGGTATGCAAAGGCTTACAATAGGGAATATTTATTAAAATAAAAATAACTATTAAAATGATCAATTTGCAAAGTTACAGTTAGTTGGCCTTTTGTGATTAAATGCTAGAATATTCTGCAGTGCTTTAGTTACAGCATCTAGTCTACATATTCTTTCCTCTTAATCACCAAGGGTGTTAGCAGCTTAGTATTGCTCCTGGTACTGCTGTTAGTGACAGTGGCAGTTGTATTCTTACTTACATATTACCAAGGCTACCTTTCAAACTATCACGAACCGAACGCTGGCATTCATTTAAGACCATAGAAGATTTACTTGAGATCTTTACTTCATTGCTCCTTAAATTGCTATGATAAGTATAAAGTAAAATAACTCAAAAGCTTCATCAAAGACTTTTTTTTTTTTTTTGCTTCAGTTTCAGTATTGAATTATAGCAGTTTTTCACCCAAGCATTGCTGCACTTAACACAAATGTGTTAGGCTGAGGTAATAAACAAAAAGATTTGCCAACACAATATTCGTTTGTTTAATGTTGGCTTTCGGTGTAATCAAAAGTAATAAAAATGAAAATGAGGGTTTTCTCTTTAAAAGACATTCGAAGGCATTTGTGACTTACTGACTTAATCTTGTAAATGGGCACACTCATTAAAATTCTGCTACTGAAAGGTGCACAGTCTTTCAGACTTCACTGAGACCGAGACTGATTTTGGCCCAAATAGGGTTGTGTCATAAATTTCTACATGTGAATTGTTGCAGAAATACGAAAGCATGTGTCAAGATGAAACTCCCATTTCCACTGTTTTCTGGTGAAATTCTGTAAGCTAGGTCAAATTTAAATTTAGCCAGCAAAGCTATAGGTTTCTGTAGTTTGAAACAGCAGAAATTAACCATCAGCTGAAAGTCTATGGACTGAAGTGCAACGAAAATTGTTTCTGTACCTTAGAATACAAATCTAGCTGAAATCAAAATAGGGCTTCTTATTGCAATTTTGTGATGATTCACCATTGCTGAGAATTTTTTTTCCTGGATTCTGTATAGTAACATCAAGAGTACTCGTTGTGGGTACAAACATTTTCTTCTCAGTAGAAGATTTTTGATTGTATTCCTGGTATGTATGTGTTGAATTGCTCAGCAATATTTGCTGCTGAATAAGATGACCCCTTCACAGATTTTTAGCATTTTTTTTTTTACTGCAGATGCCATTTACCTGGCTTTTGTGGATCAAAGCAGTTTAAAGTAGGCTGCATATTTGAATTATCAGTCATGTAAATGACTGATAGCCAGCATATTATATGGGGTCAGTGCACTTAACTTGTGAGGCAAAACTGCCTTTTTAATGGTCAGCTTTATAGGATTCCTGATACATAATGCATTTCTCAAATAACTGAAAACTTGATAGGAATCTTTCATTTACATTTGTTTCCCTTAATTCACCTTTACCTACTTGTGTAAATATCTTCTGTTAATAGCTACATTTCCTTGTCAAACATAACAGATCTAAAATTTACATAAAATAAAGGTCTCCTAGCAAGAAATTCAACTGTTTATTTTTTAGGTCATTTTAAAGTAGAAATCTGAAAAAAAAAAGTGTTTAAAAACTCTATTCAGTTTCATCCTCCTTTTACCACTCCAGTCACACCATCTTCAGTTCCTTATGTCATCTTCCCCCTGTCCAACCTCATGCAATTTTAGTGTAGCCTTATCATCACCTTTAAGTTTTGGTAGAATTTTGATCTGCCTAACCTATAATCTCACTTCCTCTATATTCCAACCTCTTGGCCTGCATTTTCCCCAGTTCTGTGCAAACTTCATGTATATATGTGTATTTTTTTTTAATTCACCAGCAATTTCTCGGTTCCTTAAAGCTTGCCATAGGGAAGATTGGTTACTTCATGCTCTTCTTCAGGCATCGATCTAATGTTTAATTTTGTTTCGTTCCAATGTTGCAATCACTATTCTGAATCTCTAATGGAAGATCCAAATGCAACTTGAAAAAGTTTTACAAAAAAGTAGTTTAAAAGATGCATAGAAAAAAAAAAGAGATGTAATGTTTTTTCCCAAGCACCAATCATTAGCAGCAGTAGAAGAATTTAAATGTAAATCCTTTGCACCATCATACCTTCCAATCTTTTTAAAGCTGTGTCTCTGCCATAAAGCATAAAAATCCTTGCTGTCTGACAGTGGTTTGACACATGTGCAACTGAGTCTTTGCCACATGTAAAGAAGTCTGAAGAAATTGCAAAATGCTTGAGTAAAATGTAGCTGAACATGTAATCAGAGTGATGTGACTTATTTGTCTGAATTAAAGGTGCTGTTCATAAAACAGCAGTCAGTGGGTGACCACCTGACTACCTGTATCCATTAGGATAGGGTAGATAGTTTGGTATCTAGCTGAACTAGCAGATTTTATGTGTTTCAATAAAAAGATGTCATCAATCATGTAGCTAATGCTGCTATTAACAGAGGTGGTTGGTCAAAGTGCAGGGCAAATGACAAAGACAGTGTTAGATTACAGATGTTTTGATCTTCCTTGTCCGTTGATCAAAACAAAGTGATTCCTTCAAAGTGTTTGATACTGTTTTCTAAAATGTTAATATGTAAAATATTTCTGTTAATAGTTGCCATGCTCATGCTTCTTACTCTTTAACTACCAGGTGTTTACCATTTCCAAAGACTTAGTTCCTCGGGTGATGTCAAGGATTGTGGAAGCAGTATCTGAAGAACTGAGTCGACTGATGCAATGTGTCTCATTCTTCAGTAAAAATGGAGCTTTACAGGTACCTGAATATTTTCTACTGTCAAAGATCTGAATTTAGGAAACTGACAGTAATAGATAAGTATAATCCATATATTTGTTGGAAACAAACAAGGAGGTAAAAAGTGTTGGAATGCAATCTATTTCTCCGGTTAGTTCAGTGTAATCTGAGATGCTGGTACTGCATAATGATAGATACAGTTCCATTTTGGGGTCTGATTGTATTGTACTGAAGTTTGCATCTGAATCCATAAAAGCTTACCTGTGTCCCAGGAGATAAAAAGCATCATAATGACAGTAATTTGAAATATTACCAAATACTGTTAGCTATTGAATACGTTTGAAAGGAGTCTGTAAGGAAGCAAAAAACCGCACTGACTCAAGGATTGCTATGACTGTGCTAGGGTGGCAAAACCAGCCACCATATTTTTACTGTCTGCGACAACATTCTTGTATTATGATGGGAAACTATTTAAAGGCAAGTCTTATTTTCTAATTGCTATTAGTAATTGTTTTTGACAGAGAATTAAGGTAAGATGATCCCAGCCATAAGACCACAGCAATAAGATTGGTGGTGGGTCATTTTAAACCAGTCAGTGACCAGTGAGGAAATTACTAGTATATAATTTTTCTTTGACTAGAAGACCCACCTTATAAACTTGCTGCCTAAAGCTGTAACTGAAAGGATCTTCCTGCCTGCTGTAAATTTGTCATTTGTGATTCTTTATGTTCCTTGGAAGACAGAAAATCCTGTATAATTTGAGTTAGATAATAACAGTGTGAGGATACCTGCACCAGTCAGATTGATCAACTATACATCCCCTATGTGGAGTATCAGACTTTGGCAAGAGAAGCCCAAGTTAGTTTTCCTGACTATTGAAGGCTTTACTCTTCCACCAGGTTTGTTCAAGCTGTGGCACTTGGGAACGTGACGTTCCCACCACACTGTTACTTCCTAAAACTTAAGAGTCCAACATCATACATACAAGACTTAAAGAAAATCCAGACTATTCATTGTGGAGGGCTACACAAAGAAAGGCGAAGTATTCTGCAATGAGAAAAATATTTCCGACAAGTATAAAATGTGTGGTTGGCCATATTCAATTTTGTGCCAGAAAGCTCTGTACCAATAAAATAAAATAAAATAAGGCATAACTTGGCTTCTTGTGTAGGAGAAAGAGATGATGGGAAGATAAAAAAGCCAAAAATTTTCATTGGAATTGGAATCAAATTACTATATTGCATTATAAAAAGGTTTTTTTGTTGTTGTTGTTGGTTTTTTTTAATGCTATGGTGTTCATTTTGACCAAATTTATGTCTTGTTTCTGTAATAACTAGCTGGATTAAATTGTATATAGTGGACAAGAGCTGAATCTGAATTGGGGTGCAGTTCTCTTAATATTTGTATGGAATAAGTTATTCAAGTGTTGATTGCATTCAGTATGTTCTGGCTTCATATAAAACATGCAGTGACAGTGGTTACATTTCCTAGCCTGGAGAAAGATATGTGAACTTTGCGTAGTTGATTCTCCACTATAGTTTGCCAGGGTGTAAATCAAGGCCTAGACACGCAGTCCCCCAGCTTGCGTGCCCACCAGATGACAGACAAGAGAAGTAGAGCACTTCTTCCTCATCTGAGGGGGAAAAACTAACAAAGATCAGCAACAAAATTAAGAATAAAACGTGTATTGACAGATTTTTGTTTCCTTCCCCCCTGGCCAAGCTGTACTCCGAAAAGTTAAGCTTACTGTACTTAAAAAATGTGGGTCACGGGGACATCAACAGAAAAATTAAGGTAATGTCTTCTCTTTATCTTCCTGTCATTGAACAGGAAAGATGGAGCAGAATTCACGATTTGTTACTGTTACTGAGAGACAAACCAATGTTTTTAGACTGCTACATAGTCATAGTGACTATACAAACCATTTGACTTGAATCAGAAGTATGAAATTGTTCCTTTTAGCGCTTTCCTAACTGACATGGCTGCATGGCAACCAAAAACACACGAAACAAACTGTTAAAGCCAAGGCTGCTTAAAGCTGCAGCATGTAGCAGTTTGCATAAGAACAGATGACGCTCTAGTATTCTGTTGTAAGATTGTTTCAATCTTTGTGTTTCCGTCTTTAGGCAAGACTTGAAATCTGTGCTTTGAGAGATACAGTGGCCATATACCTAACACCGGAAAGCAAGTAAGATGTACAGTAATTTATATTGTTTCATTGCAATAAAATCCTTGGTAAACATGCAAAGAGACATAATATAAATTGTTTTCAAGAAACCATGCTTCCAATAGAATGTTTGATATTAAGCAAATATATAGGAAACAGGTTCTCATTTAGATTTGATCAGCTCAAAGACAATTGTTATTTGTTGTTGTTGCTATTAATTTGAATTTGTTTGCTGGTTCAAACTAGATGTCTTTTACCTTAAAAAAAAAAAAAAAAGGAGTAGCTCATCTGATGAGGAAAACAGTGCTAAAACAACACAAAGGCAGGTATCACGGAGTTTCATCCAATTTCTCACAGGGGTCCCATGTAGCACACTGCAAAAAGCCTGCCAGACATTTCAGAGAGAATATAGAACCAGCCACTGGCAGGATAGGGATATGGAAGGTCTGGACTCTCCATAAGTTTGCACAGTTCACTTCTTTTCCACACTTCTGATCAGGGAAAGTGTGTTCAGCTTCCTTCTGTCCCTTAGAAGGAAAGCTTTTAAATGGCTTTCAGCAATTTAGCATCTTTTAGGGGGTACAAAATCAAAGATAATGGACATACAAATATAAGAAAGAGAAGTTCTAGCGGCATTTGTGGCAGTCAAGACAGCCAAAAACACAAACTATGATAGCTGTCAGCAGTTCTGAATAATATTGACTGATTGATTGCAAATTGTTAGTTGAGGATCCTTGGAAATAGATATGAGCATATTCATGCATTAAGTTAGATTGCCTACATTTTTGTTAGACCTGCTGTTCCCACCAGTTGCAGTTCAGTCATGTCACCTGATCAAAATCTTGTAAGGAATCTTTTTAAGGCCTGAGTCTCTAATGTGTCTTCATAATCTCACATGTGATGTTCTGCGCTACTGCTGCATTCAGGTTGGAAAGGCTCATTTCCCTATTCTGAATATCTGGTGGTGATGAAGGCGTAGCTGGACAGCAGCTCAAATTGGACAAAATTAAGTGCTGTTGTTTCCAATCAACATTTTAGCAAAACAGAATGAACCCCCAGAAGGCCAATTTTCTTAGGTGCTCTTTTATTCCTTGACTCGTCACTGGTAGCCATGTTAATCTTTTGCTGACAGAAGATTGTGCACATCTATGCAGGTCTTGCATTGTCCCCTGCACATGCACTTCAGGTTGCCAAGAAAGGTGTGGAATCTCCATCCTTGGAAATATCCACACTTGACTGGACAAGGCTCCAAGCAGCCTTTTCTAAATTCAGAGTTGGCCCTGCTTTGAGAGGGGGCTGGACCTGGTAATTTCCAGAGGACCCTTCCAACCAAAACAATTCTATGATCCTGTGTTACAGCAATGCAAACCTACTATAATTTTCGCTTAGGCTTTCTCCCATAAGAGAGAATGCAGTGACCTGAGCACAGAAAGCCAAGGTCAATTTTATCCCTGTGCTTCATGTTCTGATGGTCTCTTAGTTCTAGGCAGAAGACAGGCTGGCACTTACTGGAATAACTGAAGAATCCAGGATGTCAAACACAGGAAATTGTCACTGTCTTAAATGAGTTACTGATTTAACATTTCCTTTTTTCCTCTGGTGTATATTAGATTAAGACTTGGAAACCTGTCTGAGTCCATGGGCACTTCATATACAATTGGCATGTTGAGCGGATATTTTGTTAACTTATTGAGATAAGAAGAATGGATAAAATATATCAGGCCTTTATGAACTATCTACTGCTCTGAACTCTGAACTGCTGAGAGGGAAAATAAGTATTTTTGCTCTACTTACAGCTCAAGCTTTAAGCAAGCTTTGGAAGCCTTGCCTCAGCTCTCAAGTGGAACAGACAAAAAGTGAGTATACAGCACTGTCTCCTCTCCTTTCTGGTTTCTAGTTCTGGTTCCATTTTTTTATGATTGTATCAGAACTTTGTTACTAGAGAGCTGACCTTCACTGTACTTTGCTCTTCTGAGTTACAGAATGAAAGCGTATTTGGACAGTGTTGAAAATAAGCTAAGCTCACATTCAGTGTGGCCTATTAAATTATACAGGAGAGCCAATGGCTTTGTGGTGCATCTCCTTTTCCCATCCTAGGCTTTCCAGTTCAATATAGCTTTGTATTTGTTTTTTAATTTCAGTCAGTTTAAATCTTCTACACTAATCTTAGTTTCAGTGAGCTCCATTGTCTTGTCCTGCTGATTTTAACAACAATTAAAAATGACCAAGGTGCAAAGTATGATATTTGCCAACTGATATTTGGAAAACTTGTTTCATTTTAAAAACAAATAAAAAAGGTCTGCCATTATGCCTTAATGTCAAGAAGAGGAGTTCTGGGCTCCTCTTTGCACACCATATCATTCTTTGACGACCAAGCTGCTTTTCTGCATCCAGCCTTGTGTTTGATAGTTTATGTTATAAGCATAGCTTCATAAAGCATAGCAAGGTAAAACCAGGCACGATTTGTAATGAGTATACTAGTATAAAGATAGCTTTTTTGAGGCTGGTATTATGGTATCTTCAGGAGCTGATCTGCGTCAAATCAGTTGCACTTAACATTCACAATTCAAAGCAGACACATCTAGATCCTGTCTGTACAACCTGTATGGCTGCAAATCCTGCCGCCTTCCAGAAGTCCCCTGTTTATTCAAACGTATTTGTCACTAGTTCTCTGCAGCAAGTCACAAGTTATCTCCTTGCCCTCTCTCCTTCTTTATTAAAGATAGGATCTGTTTTGAGTAAGGAGAGTTCTTTCAACTCAGACTTTCCAAAATACCTGTTGGGTTGTGTTGACTTGCCATCATCTGAGCTTCAGGGGACAGATGAGAACAAGGAACTGCATCATTTTTACATCTGTCTCAGGATTACAAGCCCCAGACTTGTGTCCAACTTCATTTTGCTTCCCAGGTTCTTACCACTGCAATTGCCAGCAGTTGGAACAACTCATGATGATGAAAAAACTACACCTATTTGTGTTAAATAACACACGTTTATGTGCTGATTTAGAGCTGTTCCCTTCTCTTAAACCAAGTCACTACTACAATGCTCAATGAGGATTGTGGCTGTAGTCATTTTCCAGAGAGATTCCTGAAGAAGCAGATTTTGTTACGGATTTTTTTTTTTATCATACAATATAATTTCCTTCATTACTGGCTGTCAAAGCTTTCTGAAAGCTTGAGGTAATGCATATCTCCCCTATATAGTTTGCTTTTGAAACAGAGCAAAAAGTTCTGGGAATACCTTGTACCTCAGAATACATTTGAAACCTACAGGCAAGAGTGTAAAATTTATTATTTCATCTCCACTGTTATAATAAATATTTGCTACAACAAAACTATCAATACCCTTGATCCTAAACCTGTCTTCTGAGGATTAGAATGAACATAGTCCTATGCAGCAGCAGCTATGTAGATATAACTGAATATTTTTTTTGCTGAAGAATGAACTCATATGTACTTTGTTATCTGTAAAGGACAAAACTACGTAGCTGCAAGTGAATGAATACTTCTTCCAGAAGAGTTACTCTACCTCTGATTTCTTGGACATGACCCTAAAGAGAATCCCCAGGAATACCTCCCAAAGACAAGTTTGAGAACTAAAATAGACACCAAAAGAACATAGCCTTGATGAGGCATACTGATTTTATGGCACACAGTCTGGCAGCTTCTAGATTTCATGATCTCATGAGCCTTCCCCACCTTGATTTCATGATCTCATGAGCCTGCCCCCCAACAGCCTTTTGCTGTTGTTTTGCATATGTTTCTTTCAGGAGATGGTCTTTATATGGAAGGAAAGGGATATAAATGTGTATTTTATTACCTTTTTAAAATCTCTGTGGCTAAGTCCTCTCTGGACATAGCTCATCTGTTTATGAGATAGACTTACTGTATTTCTAAAGGTTTTTAATATCTAGCTTTCTAAACTAGATCCAATTTTAGGCCCTGTATTTAAATAAACAGTGTATCTGAAGTTATATACAGAACTGCCAAGATGTTTGGTAATTGTTCCTTTTCCGAATCAGCCAAAGTTGTAAATATTTACCTTTTATAGGTTACTGGAAGAACTACTAAACAAATTTAAAAGCAGCATGCACTTGCAGCTGACCTGCTTTCAAGCTTCTTCATCAGCAATGATGAAAACATAGACAGCGACGCAAGTCAAGGAACTTGAAAAGCGAATGCAGATCAGCATCGCCCGTTTTCCTGCATGACTACTGTTCCTTTGGGCACTCTGAAGAAAATGAAAGGAATTTCTTTGAAAAAGAAATTGTGAGATCCAGTTCAAAATAATGGTATGCAGCACCCGGTTGAATGAAAGCTCTGTTCGTAAGCATCAAGGCAAAATGATTTTCTGTCTGCTATATTGCATTGCGTGGCATAGATTAAGTCAGTTTTGTTTACATACACTCCTCTTGGCTATATATGTGTGAGGTAATATTCATTTATGTGCTGCAATCTCTGTTTCATTTGTTAAAATACATCTAAATATATTTCAGCAGATGTCATTGTAATTTTGTGTAGTTATGCATACTGTTCAGTGCATAAATTCTTACCTTCCAGTTGTAGAGCAATACTGATATACGTGATTGGAAGAGTCAACTTCTATAAACTATAGAAAAGCATACAATGAACATTACTACTAATAGGTGACATATAAATACTCTAACACAATATGTAATATGCTTCTTTAACATTAAAGCAATATCACTTCTTTCTGCTGTCATCTACAGTTTTAGTGGCCATAAGTCTAGTTTCTTGTGAGGCTTTTATTTGCTCACTTCTTTCTGAAACAGGTCTGTATATATTATTTTTCCTTCTATCTGAATATTGATGTAAACGTTCATATCTGAAATACACTCACTGGAAATGAACAGAAAAGTGCTCTGAGTTTATAAACTAGTAGATTTATTTTAATGTTTAAGTAAAATATTATTTGGTGTTAAGGAGTAGAATAGCAAATAGCCTGTTGCATAGTCTGAGGTAAATAACTAAGGAGTACATTAGTTCTACAGATTTCTTCTCTCTTGTCTTTTATTGTTCTTAAAATATTGCTATCACCATCTTCCTCTTCCCGCTTGTTAGTCAGTCCTCTTTTCACAATCAATTATAAAATTTTTATAAGAGAATAGGTATTCAGTAGGAGAGACAAAAAAAAAATGCTACCAGTAACACATAATTACAGAAAGGTCAGGAACTGCCTGCCCAGCTAACAGGTAGCACCTGAAGCCATGCTTTGCTCGACGCTGCCCATTCTGAGCTGGCTTTAGTCACAGCTGCAGGTATTCACTGAAATCATTGTCCCGTTCAATCTGTAAAGCACCTAGCTTGGGAATAATAAAATAATAAGAAAGATGGTCATAAACTGGTCCCTAATTCCTCATTTTCCAAGAAATGTGATTTCTGTATGACTTTTGTTGGAACTTACATTTGTATTAGAAATGTTCTAAAGTATTGAACACTTACTTTTCACTCCATACTGAATTAATATAGATCCATGTGCTTCTTTATCACAGCAGCAGTCTCTTAATCATCTTGCGTTACAAAAGCTTGCTGCTTATCTTTAAACATGGATTACGTTGGGGTTGGATGCCTCTCGGAAGTAACGCCTCCGAACTCTTCCCTGACAGCAAGCGTGAATAGTGGGTAAGGGATCACAATCTTGCCTGCATGCAGCCTGATACGAAATAAATATCTGCAATCAAGTTAGAGCACTAAATTTCAAGAAATCAGGTTTGGCAGAATTAAGGAAATCCATGAGCATCAAGCAGAAACGGATTTATTGCAATCCCTTTGTGTGAGAGACGTGGGACTGCTGAGGCTTTCTAGCCAAGGCAGAGCAGGCTGCAGTTCCTCTGAAAAGATTACAAGAAACAAGAAGTGGTCAGTGTGGCTTTGCAAAATACTGCTCAAAGATACAATGAGGTTTAAAAGATGCTAATGGGAGTGGGAAAAGAAGAGGAGGAGGCCACACCAAAATACACCATCAGTTAGGGCTTGCAGAGGAAGGAGAGACGGCAAGGAAATCCAATTGAAGTAACAGAAGTGAAAGGTTTTGACATTTAAAGCAAAGATAAGAGCTAAAAACAGTACAAGGGAAAATAAACTGAATTATTACATGAACTTTTAAGCTCTAGAAGTGCAAAAAATAATACAGAATGAAGAATAAAAGCAACATTGATACTGAAATAGAAACCTGGAGAGCTTTATTTCTCATTTAGGAGAAAAAAGTCAGGGAGTAACAAGGTTATAAAATATGCCTGGATAAAAATACGTGAAGGCTTATAGCAAAATTCAACCATAATATGCTGTGTTGAGGTAATCTGCCTCTGGAGATGCTGAAGCGTTTTCGTATTATTGTATTTTTGAATATTTATTTTGAGTTGTGATGGGTAGTTCAGAAGGTAAGCAAAGACAAAATAAAAAGTAAATATAATATCAGTGTAATAAGATGTTAGGTGAATCAAAAGCAACAGAAAAAAATACTTAAAATGATGAAAAACTAGAGGACATTAAGTATCTGAATAGCAACTTAACGAAGACAGATTAAATAAGCAATAAAACTAGTAGTGCTACTTGTGTTTATTGTACCACCTGGGCATACGTAGATGTTCAGGGGGACAAAAATACAAATATGTCAGGTTTTCAGATAGGTTGGAAATAATTGTTAAATGTGAGGATGGACTTCAGACGGGAACATGGTCTGGAGTCTCTTGGCATGTCTGGCCCAGCCATGTCCCCACAGGACTTTTGCGTATCTTTTACGTGGACATTTTGCTGACTCTTACCCTAAAAAAGAAAATAAAAATTGTTATGACTTGTAAATTCATTTAAAATATTTTTAGTGGAAAATCAGCTATTTTGCAATCCAAGATAGACACAGCGAAATAAAGTACCGCTGGAATACCTCTTGTAGCCTTCTTGCTGGGTTCAGAAACAAGGCGTTTAAAAGAAGAGATTCCAGAGTGTGGGGAGGCTCAACAGCATTTACTGGTTGGATTTAGACCCTTGAATATTTGTCACTAACTTACCTTCCATCCTGCCCATATACTGGTAAAGCCATCATTCACTTTGCCTCCTGTGTCCTCTTCAGCAGTGATTATATTCCTGTATATCCGGATACCTGTGGACTGATTCTGCAGCTTTAACACATCACGTGGTTCCTTTCAACATTGCTAAAGGAAACCATAAAAAATGCTACCTAGTTAATTATAGGCAAAACAATTTTGAACGAGCTGTGTTACCTGTTACTGTGTTTTGACTTCATGTGGTTGACAGCTTGTTTTGTGACTTTCCAGGGGTTTTTTTGGCATGGAATGAAAGAGAAAACTGGGAACAAGCAGGTATACTGTTTCATTAAGGAACATATTAGCCATTTTTATCTTTAATTTTTCTATTTTCATGTAACACTGCCAATAGGTCAAAGATAAGACTCCTGCAGTCCAACTCCCTTCCTCTTTGTGCTCCTCAAGTTTCAGAGTTCTAAAAGCTCTGTCTAAGGAATTAAGGTACTAAGGAAACATGTCCTAAAATGGTGAATTTCTTTCAGAAAAGTGTTTGTCATGTTAATTATATACTACTTCCAATGTGACCTGATGGCCTAAGAGGGCTCTCATTTGGAGAAACACCAATGCATCCTTGAAGTCCATTTAAAAAATGTGTTTGCAAATAACTTAAATGCCACACACTGCTATTTCTTTCATTTGGAGCAGAGAGGACAACTTGCTGCTTTTGGAGTGGCAACATGAACAGTTCTGCGGTTTATTTTTGAGATCAAACAGTCATGTGGGGATCATTTATTGCACCTAATGTTTTCTAGCCTGAATATCCAAGGAGAAGAGAAGTGTCTGTTCCTTTTCTCTCATGCTCCCGTTATTTAAAGGCTTGTAATAGATTTTGTACAGTTTTTCTGCAAGCAATCCTCCTTGAGGTTAGGACCAAGTAAGGAAAATCTTCAGCCAAATTCCTTTTGAATTGGAAAATTTAAATAACTTGAGGAAAAAGGAGTAAGACAATGGAAAGTGGAATCCAGCCTTATTTGTAACAGATGCTATTAGCACATGCTTAGTTTTATAGCCTATTTTGGCACTATTTCATCTCTTTCTTGTGAAATAACTTTAGCGTAAAATATTCCTTGCCATTCCCAGGCAAAAGGGCCTAAATAGAATGGAGTGATAGTTTTGGTGCAGCTCATTAAAAATACATCACACAAAGATAAGAATTAAGCTGGGAAAAAGAATTATCTCCACCTTGCCCCCTGAAGTGGACCTGGATGTGGAGGAAGGGAGCAGGACAGCTTTGCTTCGCGCTTCCTGCGCTATCAGCTCCCTGTGCATTGAGGTCACACACAGTGAAATTAAGGCAGGTCTGATGTGAGTGAAGAAAACCAGGAGATTCAAACGCAAAGTGCAGCTTACCCAGCTATTTCTCGGTGTGTGATGATCTAGAAACAACCATGAGTGTCTTGATTTCGGTGGCATGGGAGTTTTTTATGCTGCTGTACTAATGTAGAAAAATGTCTGTGGCATGAGATTCTGCTTCAACCAAGTGGAGTATGTCCTTTGGTTTTCTTGGTTCATAAGCAGATTTTTAGCACAGAATGTCAAATCAGATAATTTGTAAAGTAAAATAAGCAAAATGAGACAAATCTTCCTTACTGCTCATTACTCACTTTTTCTGATAAATTTCACTCATTTAACTAGATTGTACTTCTACTCTCAGAGGGGGTTCCCCTTCCAGCTTATCTTGTTAGATATTCAGTAGATAATTAAAATTCAGAATGTTAACGGTGCTGCTTATTTTTAGAACCTGACATGAATATGTGTAGACAGAGATTTGAAAATGAATTAATAAAGACCAGAGAGCTCTGAACCATTGTGGTTAAAACGTTGGTAGGCACCTGTAACCTCAGAAGTACAGCCGGTGCAGGGAAGAAAACATGGCCAACCTTTGCTGTTCAGGCATCTCAGGCCACCAGGGCTGGAGAGCAAGGTGATTATATGCAACAATTAAAACGCTACAAATATATACAAATGCTAAATATAGACTGATAGATATACAGTTATGTATATAGTTACATATGTATACGTAACTTTATGTAGTTATACATGCACAGTATGTGACAAAGTAGAAGAAACCCAATGAAGGTTTGTTATGCAAAGATAA